TGAGAGCAGGTCAGCCCTTCTCATTTCTTCAATGTATGCATAAATTAATATTTTAAAATGAAAAAAATATATAATTTTTTATGGTGAATGCAAAAGTTTTTTCTTGATATGTTGCCTGCACAGCCACTCAACAGGAGGCCACTTTCTCTTTGGGATTCCTTCCCTCAGAGAAAATGTTTTTGTAAAATAAAGGAGAGCTTAACACCACCAAAATATTCTTTGCACATCAAAGTCTTTTGAAAGCTTTCTTGGAATTGACTCAGTCATTCTTGTGTGTCTTTACCTCTCTCAAACAAATAGGAACTTTCTTTAAAAGGTTCACTCAGTCTGTTTTAAAGTTTACAAAACAACCATACACTCTCACAGCTAATTTCTTTTCCCTTTTTTCCCTTTTTCCCCTCTTTCCTTCCCCTCTTTCCTTCCCCTCTTTCCTTCCCCTCTTTCCTTCCCCTCTTTCCTTCCCCTCTTTCCTTCCCCTCTTTCCTTCCCCTCTTTCCTTCCCCTCTTTCCTTCCCCTCTTTCCTTCCCCTCTTTCCTTCCCCTCTTTCCTTCCCCTCTTTCCTTCCCCTCTTTCCTTCCCCTCTTTCCTTCCCCTTTTTTCCCTTTTCTTTTTCCTTTTTTTCTTTGTCCTTATCTTTGTCTTTTTCTTCTTTGTCTTCTTTTTCTTGTCTTTTTTTCCTGTTCTTTCAGACCATGCTATAGAACAACTTTTTACGATGTTGACCACAGCTCAGCATGATGGGCCTATATCTGAGTAGGATTTTATAAGCACTAAGGTAGAGCAAATAACAATTGCATGAAACCAGCTGAGGAATCGTGATACTTAGAAATGATGACTAAAGCACTTAAGTGGACAATATTCAGTTACCTTAGGGTGTGACTTCTCTTTCTGTCATTACAATAAAAAACAAAAGTAGTGTTGGAAGCCTTAATATTGTGAACCTTAACACTGAAGCATAAAAAAGCTTGTAACGATTAGCATCCAGGAAATCATTCAATCAAGGATTGAAAACCAGGCAGAAGTATTTACACTGTAAATATTAATTTATTGGCTGTAATATATTCATTGATTTTACAGTCTAATGTGGCTATGTCTAGTGCACTAATAAATGTGTTTGAGCAGAGTCAATATACAACGATGAAAGTACGTTTCCCATGGTGCAGCTTTGCCAGACAACTGTCTTATTACCCCAACTCTCAACTCAGAAAGTCACACAGCCCGTTAGTTGAGCTTGGTCTTTCCCTTTTTTTTCCCTACTTTACCTGCCTTCAGACTTCACTTAAAGAGTATGTGAGCTTATTAATTGCATTTGTGAAATACGTTTTAAGGATATTTTGAGAAGTAAATGATAAAAAAAAAGATGAAAACCCATACATATATAATTTACAGAATCTATACAGTGTCACCAAACATCACACTGTGCTTACACGAACTCCTCTTCTGTCTATGCTTCATCAGTCCCTGTTTAGTCTAATCTTTCTAACTGCGCTTTGCAAAACACTGTAGTAATTGCATCATTTAATCATTAGACACAAATAAATTTAGATTGCATTCCGGAAATAAAATGACCTTTAAAAACTATTAACCAGACTTCAAGCAAGGTTTCAGAAGCCGTGCAAAGGAAAACGTTGCTCTTCAGTAAATGAAGTGAGTTGATACTCTAAGCTCAACAAACAATCCAGGACACTGGAAAATTTGAGGGTTTTGATAATTTTGTGTCAGTGTGGAACATGCAATCCTTGTTTATGGTTCAGATGTTATCCTCTTGCTAAGAGAAAAATGAAGTGCTTTTTGTACCTCTGCCAAGATACAACTTAAGAAAAACAGCGAATTCATCATTTCGGGTTGTGTTTTCTTCCTCCTGTACTTCTTCCATTCGGATATACAACAGATTTGTGGAAATTGCCAAAAGGTCTTTCTCCTGCAGCTCCCTGCACCTTTTGGAATAAGCTTTAAGGGATGATAAGCTCTAATAGAAGTTTAACATTTCAGCTATCCCATTTCAGTTATTCAGCTGGCTGTTCAAAAATGGCTCTTTAGAGTAGGGCTGATAAATGTATTTATTCAGACTTTTCCAAAACAGACGCTGCTGCAAAGAGCACAGGATAAAATTTATTCTCTAAGAGAAAAAAAGCAGCACAAGGTCACACAAATCTCATGTAAGCCTGAACATCTGGCCAGATGCCATAAAATTTGAGTAAATCTGAATGGTTTTTGAAAATTATTTGTGCAAGAGTCCACATTTGTATCACATAAATAATTTAAACTTTTGGCCCAAGTTAGGAACAGTGAGACCTAAATCTGTATAAACCCTCACTAAATACTCATCTGAGCTGTTGCCTATAGCATTCTTCGAAAAAAGAAACCTGAAAGAAGTAAATAATGGATATTGTTCACATTAAAATAATAATATAAAATTTAAACAAGCCCACAGAAAATGGCTTGTCTCACTGGGGAGCTAGACAGATGGGTTGGAATCAAAATACCGCTTGCTTTCCTGCGTGTGCCCCCTATTTGTACTCTGCTTTGGTTTTGCAAACAGTTCTAATAGTCTGTGCCTGTGCACAGAACTGCTATTTTTAATGAAAAACAAATTGTAAGAAAATATTGAAACAATATAAAAAGTGTGATTTGAAAAGTCCTGAGCGGTACTGATGTGTCTGCACATGCATGAATACAAATATGACGTTAAAAAAAATTAAATAAAGGCAACGAAGCTGTGCTACTGCAATGACCTTTCAGCTTGTAGAAATTCAAGTGTTTTAGCACTTTTGGAGCTGTCTCCTCAAAATTGCATCAACTTTGTTTGCAGAGGCAAATCTGTCAAGAATGAGGACACCTTTTCTGCCAGGTTACGTGGCAAAGGTGTGGACGTACCGACACATCCTGATGACTGAAGCTAATGATCTCCCCCTCTGACTTTTCAGGGCACTTTTTTTCCTTCTTCTGTATAACTAACACTGATTTTCATGATTCAAAGTCATGAGAATGCTTGAAGTGGATACTTTATTTTGCTAGGTTTTCCTTTAGAGAGAAGAATTTATTTTTCTTTAATGGTCGTGTTTAATATTTATGTTACAGGTGTATGTCAGAAAAACAAAGAAAAGTTCCTGGCACTTGACGCATCAGCGACTGCCATTGTGTGTGTATGCAAACACCAGATGATGTTCATAAAAAGGGCCAGTTGTTTGCCCTCTCCTGGTTCCTTCTTCTGAAGGAACCCTACAGGTTTCAACACGCACTTCAGTCTAAAAGCTTCAAACTTTGCTTAAAACCCTTACCCACTTAATGCAAATCAGTTGCGGTTATGCCATGAGGTTGAAGTCATAGGAGCAAATAGTTCTGATGAACCGTTTGAATAAAGCTTACAGCCTGAGATGTGGCAGCAATTTTCTGGGAAATGCAAAATCCCTTGTTGGAGAACGTAAGATGGAAAATCACAGGGGCTTTGTTTCAGAGAGGTACTAGTTTTCCACGTACTTGTGATGCGTAGTCTTGCTCTGCGATGTTGTAGATGTTACAGGACAGATTCTGCCTGGGGAGCAGGTGGCTATAGATGTCTGGGAGAAAGGAGCCTAATTTTTAAAATTTTTCTCAATTAAGAACCATTTTTTGCTAACTTGTCTATAGCATAACACGAGTGGAAAATTGTCTTCAAGCATGCAGAGGTATGTCCAAAGACATCCAAACATAGATTTAATTTGGGGAATCCATACTCAGGATCTTCTACAGAGAACACTGCACGATGCCCTAGTTTTGATAGGTTCCCCCAAATAATTTGCTCAGAGTGTGTGCACTGTGCAGACTAGCGTAGATGTAACTCACCTTAAATGAGCTCCTCCAGATCTCACGGAGCCACCTGGAGTCTGACAGAGGCCAAGTTCCCTGCTGCTTGGTCAGAAATTTTAACTTGTTCAAAACTCAGTGTAGCTGTAGCTGATCAGCTTCCACCACCTGAGCTAACACTGTCCATGTACCGCTCAGCTCCCAGCGCAGACCCTCAAACAGCTCTCCTGTGTGTAGATGTGGGTCCAGTGTGTTTGGTGTTTTAATGATGGGGGACCACAGTTTTCAAGCTAATCACAAAGTTCCTCAGAAGTCACAGAGGACCACGGGACTTCAAAGTGACCTTCTGTTTTCAGTACAGTCCATTTTATTGCAAGGATTGAGGCTGTATAGGGTCAATAGAAAGTTATTTCACTGGTGATCAAGATGGATTTTGATACTGGCTGTTTGCTCAAGTATCAGATTTATTCCTTCAGACACCCCTATCTGAGCAAGTTCTTTGTGGAGCGCCTCTGCAAGGCCCCCTTTAGTGGCCCTAAAGTGATGTTGGTTC